TCTGAGCCATTGGCTGATGACAAGTTTTATATTGCAGCATATCTGCAATATTGTACACTATTATCTGCAACTTCAGTGTTTGCTACTGCCCCATTGGAAACCAATAATTACTGCTCCTCTCCTCCCATTCTCATATCGGATAGCCCAAGAAAGCACCGAAGACCAACTGTAATGTGAGGGAGGCGTAAAGTTATTTACCAAAAGTTGCTGCTCTTACACTACTTATATTTAAACTTTGCTGTCCTTAATCCACAAACTGGTACAAACAAGGAAAGTTGCTATGCCCAGCTAGAGCAAACACAGCTGGAATGGCTAAAAGAATAATGAACTAAAACATTATCTAAACTGTGACAGAGTAGATAGATACCAATTAAGAGTGGGCTAGTGGATCTAGCAATTGATTAGGTGTGCAAGGTAGCAAAGCAATGAAGTGATGTTTATTCTTTAGTCTGTTAATGTAGTTAGGGTAGACTAGTGATTTACCAGAAAGCTTTTGGCTCCATGTTAAACTTTGGTGGCTTTTTGCTACAGCAACACAGTGGCTACTAGAGCTAACAATCTGGCAGATGTTTGCATTACAAAGGGTATTCTCTCCTCTAAGCAAATTATTCCTGCATCAATTTAAACTAAGTGAAGTCCTTGCTGAAAATTGATGGTATGAAAGCAATAAGGTGGGTTACCTTATTGTTGTACGATATTTTAAAAAGTTTTGTATATTGCTTTGGTTTCTGTTTTCAGAACAAACGTACTGTTTTTTTAAAAAATCTGGCAAATATTTGAATTTTCCTACAAAGTTTGACAGACAAGGAAGGAGAAGACTATAACTTGGTTCTCACTGTAATACATACTGTATATTTATGATTTCTGTGTTCAAGCTAGAAGATCTTCAAATTTTAAAGTTAAAATTTGAGACTGAAGCATGTTTCTAAAAACGCTCATAAAAATATACATATTTGAGATAACCAAATACACAAAATTTAAAAAAGGTTCTGTTTCTGGTTTGAAAATATTATTTCCTGTTTACTTGTGCAGTAATTCCTTTGAAAGCTGTTGTTATACTCCAGAAACGTTCTTTTTGCAGCTAGCACAAACTATGTTGAATTGGTTGAGACTGGATGAGATATTCATTGAAAAACTACAGCAAAATGTGCTTCAGGATGTCCCGCAAAAACAAAGGTTTTGCAGGTTAATAAACCTTTTTCATGTTTTTCAGTTAGGAAATAACATTTGTAACCCAGAGACAAAAATCATGTTACATAGTGTTATCGTCCTTAACATATCTTTGTACATTTTTACTGTATTTTATTRTATATTTTTTTGTATTTTCTAAGCTACCTTGAGTATTAGTGTAGGGAAGTGGTTCCCAACCTTTTTTTTTTTTTTGACAAGGGACCACTTGGCCAGAGACCACTTTGACCAGGGACCACTCTCCAACATTAGTACCAAAAGGGTTACGAATCGGTTTTTGGTCAACTTTAGATTCGGTTTGGTTTTTTTTGGGGTGCTGATTGAGAAAACTGCATTCAATGGACCACATCAGCTCTAGCTTCTGATACAGATACAKAACATATGCCATCCAGTAGTCATCATCTGCTCGCCCACAGAAAACCATATTCAATCATCTAGAGCTGATGTGGTTTATCCAATGCAATTTTCTCAATCTGCACCCCAAATAACCCCAAGAAGAGGCCTAAACATGAAGACACCAAGGCACCCCCACTTCCAGGTGCCACATGGAATGGCTCCGCTCAAGGGGAAGGAGGAAGAGGAAAAGCAGCACTCAGGAGGCTTGTTTCTCACCTTTCATGAGTAGTCAGCCTTTCCCCTCCCAACATCCCCACTGCCTCAACACAATAAGAGGGTTTTGTGAGTCCAGTCACTCTTGTTGCAACGGTGTAGTGTCGATGAGGCCGTGGATCATATTTTAGGTCATGGGAACCACTGGTGGTCCACAGACCACAGGTTGAAAACCACTGGTGTAGAGAAATGGTGGGCTATAAGTAAAGTGATAGATAGATGAATATGCATGGTTGCTCCATATGAATACATTCTCCTTAACCTTCCTCTTCAAAACCTTACAAAGCATGTTTGACTGAAGAGATAGCAGCCTCCTTGAGCTCACTCAGTAAACTCTGTCATTAAGCAGACATCTGAACTTAGGTTTCCCTTGTTCCAAGTCTAGCATTCTAGCCATCACCAATAAATACAAGGTATGGTAGGTTATATTTAAAAGGGGAGGAAAAGTAGCAAAGCCACCTGTAAATATTCTTTGCCTAAGAAGGCTCAATGATATTAATGGGGTTGCCATAAACTGATAGAGAACTTGAAGACACACACACTGTACTGTCGAATTACTGTGATACAAATCTGTACCAAGACTTCTGATGGATTTTGGGGTAGATCAAACGTTTTCTTAATTCTTGGAAACTGGATTTAGATACCCAACTCACATCTGATCCATGAACAGAAGTATCACTATTATTTTAATCCATTAGAATATGAGTCCCCCTGGAAAGATAGGGTGGCCTATAAATAAAGTTATTATTATTATTATTATTATTATTATTATTATTATTATTATTATTATTATTATTATATGCAAAGAACAGATTTCCATATGTGTTGTTTAGTCACTTCCACTGAATGGTATCCTGCCATAAATCTGAAATGGCCCTATTCCCATATCATTATGTATATGAAACCTAGATGTGTAGGATTACAAAAATTCTGACAAACCTACATATAACTCTTAACAGTACCATGGTAATGAATTTTGGGAATTACACCTCAATACGTGAGGCCTACATACCATAAAGTAATCCGATTGGAAGATAAGCAGGGTCAGCTCTGGTTAATACTTGGATGGGAGAATGCCAACAAATACCAGGTGCTGTAGGCTGTATTTCAGAGGAAGGACCTGACAAAACCACATCTAACTATTCCTTGCATAATACAAAATTCATGGGGTTCACCATACATTGACAGGTGACTTAAAATCATACACTCACAGTTCAACACATCTGGAGAACACCTGGCTGGGAACAGCTGCTGTAGATCATCAGGACAAAGATCCATTTAATATCCCATTATATTTATTTGTCTAGATCAATAAGATCTATTTGCTAACATAAACTTGACTTTCTCTGTGTGCAGGGTAACCTTGACTTGCTCTCCTGAACAGTGAAACAGAATTTTCTAGCAAAGTTATACTAATGTTTTGGAGTAATCTTTCCCTGCCCCACCCCAAAACTGTCAAATAGTGATTTATTGCTTCTTAATTGTAATTTAATATGGCCAATAATACGCCACTTGATTTATGTCACTTTATATGAGCACAGAAAATCTATTTTTGAAACAACCCATACATCTTTCAGAAGCTCTGCTAAGAATAGCTTTAGAAATACATTGCTTTGTGCTGCTGTTTGGATAGGCAGATCTAATTGTTTAATGTATAAAATCTAGTACTGCTGTATTTATAATGGCCAAATGTTTTACAGTGGTGTCTCATTTTAAAATGAATAGGACAATAAGGTGAAGAGGAGGAAATGTCTGCAAGGCATTATGCTAGCAGCAGATGGGAAACCACTCTCCCTGTCTTAAGACACACACACACACACTGTGTCCATCATCTTAATTGATACTATCAGAGAATGGTTCCATACCACCAAAACCAAAACCAATATATGGTCTCTTCTTAAGAGAATGGAAAGGATTTGGAATTTTTCCCACTTTCAAAGAATGGATTTAGCAAACTCTGGATATGAAAACCAAACAAACCCCAAACTGCACCCTTCTTTAGAGGTTTTTAAATAGAGACTAGATGACCTCTCCCATTAATGCCTTGTTTGTGGTAGGGGCTTGGATTGACGCCCTTGTGGTCGTTTCCAACTTCATGTCTCCATGGTTAGAGAAGATTATTCTGAGATTTATTTTTCAATTTCTGAACATTTGCTGTGCTTTTTACATGTCTGGAATTTATTGCAATAGAAGGAAGGGAAGGGAGGGAGGAAAAAGAAAAGAAAGAATATACATAATTTTAAACGGAAAAATCTATACTGATATTTCTCTGCATGGTAATAACGGCAAACACAATGAGAAAAATTCTTTGTTGACTGAGATCCTGAACTTGCATTTTCAACACTTTCCCCCATATATATATATAAGCATTTTAGAACTTCTCAGCAAACACACTGTTGCATTTGCACACAATACAATTGTTCTTATGCAAACAACAATTCCGCAAAAAAAACCTTTAAAATTCTGCAAAAATGAGAATCTTTTCACCTGCAAGATTGAAATTCAGATTTACAGCTATGTGCACCACTGGAGATAATTCAAGATGGGAAGCTAAAGTATTTGCAATAACAATATCTGATTTATCCAAGAAACTAAGATAAGTGAATATAAGCCCAGAAGCTTCTTGTTCAGAGACCATCTCATTTACAAACTCACTCATTGGCCTAAATGGAAACATCAATACCCACTTCAGTTTTGGATTGACTGAAGTCATGTGGAGGGATGTATTAGACCAGTGAGTCCCCAGGTGTTTTGGCCTACAACTCCTGGTTTACCAGCTGTTGGGATTTCTGGGAGTTGAAGGCCAAAACATCTGGGGACCCACAGGTTGTGAACCTCTGTGTTAAGACTTTAACATTGCTAGTATTGTGAAGTATTCATGACAATTCCTACACATACCTGATACGTATGAAAGAAACAAGGCAGAAACCAAGTTCTGCCTCTGTAGTCAAACTAATGATTTCTAGATTAGCCAGTTTTCTCAGATATTGCACCATATGTTTTGGATTTGACCACAAGCATTCTATCGTTCTTCAGCAACTTTTACCGATTTGTTTCAGCAGAGTACTAAGTAGATTGTAGTAATGAAAGAGGACATTATTCACAGCCAATTGTTTTTCTACAAACTTAACACCAACTCACATCCCTTAAGCATTCTTTTAAAATGGGAGACTTGTAAATGTGATGAATGGAGAAAGGCCTACCTCTACAACTGACTTTGCATCCAGTCGAAAGTTGAAATCTCCAAAGACAAAATACGAAACTCTCTCAAACCGCTGATCTATAATTCTGAAATGGTATAAGAGAAATAAAGATTAAAATGCAGTATGCTCAGATGCATGTGAAATAAGATAATACAGTACAGGCAGTTCCTGAGTTACAAACATCCGACTTACAAACAACTCCTAGTTAAGAATGAAGTGAGAGAAATCTACCCATTGGAAGGGAAATTAACTCCTGTAAGTTATCATGGGGAAAAGAAGTCTCCACTGAAGCTTTATCACCAATCCTTGTTTCCATAACAAGCCAATTTTTTCAAAATCCAATTATCACAAGGACTGAAAATGAGGTCAAATTTTCTGAACAGAGTCACAAACAGCAAAACAAATTTCACAGGGGTGTTAACCCTTCCCTATGTTATCCAAAGCTATATATCTGGCTGGGGTGACACGTAAAAAAATGTACCTGTTCCAACTTATGCACAAATTCAAGTTAAAACCAAACCTACAGAAAAGGTCCATGGCCACCTGCACATGTCTCATGTTCACATTTCCAGGGGGTCACCTTTGATTCATTGATTAGAAAACAGGCAAAAACTGACCCTCAAAGTGGATGACTATTCCAGTTACGACCAAACATATAAACACATTGTTCCTCCAGCATGAATGGGAATGAAGACACCTAGTTTCTTACAGATGGTGGCTGAACTTCTAATATTTGGAGGTGGAGGTTAAAACAATAATGAAATTAACATGTAGGCAATGCAAAACAAACAAAAATACAAGCATACAAAACCCTGTAATGTGGAATATTCCTGAAGCCTGCTGTTCAAGGTTCTAGTTTGCCAACTATGGCCTCTTCAGTGATTTCATTTCGTTTCCTTAAATAAAATGGTTTATCAGCACCACAACTGAACAAACATGTTATTTGTCTTGAGATATTTTCATTCATTCCTCCACCCTACACTTTTTTAGCTCTCCAAAATTTGCTAATAGCCTACTCGTATCCTACATGGTAGGGGACTGGAGTGGATGGCCCTTGTGTATCATGATGCTCACCTATGAACACCAAAAATAGATGGGCTGATGATGATCAATAGGAACAATATAAGAGATATGAAATACTACTGCTACAACTACAGGCAGTACCCAAGTTATAAACAAGATAGGTTTTGTAGGTTGGCTCTTAAGTTGAATTTGTATGTAAGTCAGAACACGCACATTTTCGGTTTGTGTTTTTGGTTTTACTCTGTTGTAATTTGTTGTTCGGGCTTAGCCTCAGGTAAGCCGCTCCGAGTCCCCATCGGGGAGATGGTGGCGGGGTATAAATATTTAATTATTATTATTATTATTATTATTATTATTATTACTAAAGTGTAACTCCAGATAGATAGATAGATAGATAGATAGATAGATAGATAGATAGAAGTTTTGGATAGCATAGGAAAGGTTTAACACTCCCATGGTATTTGTTTTGCTGCCTGTGCTTCTGTTCAGAAAATTTCGCCTCACTTTCTGTCCTTGTGATAATTGGATTTTGAAAAATTTGGCTTGTTGTGGGATTGGTGATACAGCTTCAGTGGAGACATCTTTTTCCAGGAGTGAATTTCTTGTTTGTAAGTCAGATGTTCGTAACTCGGTGACTGCCTGTACTAATAAGAATATTACCACATCTACAGTATATTAGTCAAATATTCAAACTTCCCAAATACATTATTGAGAAATGAACTTCAACCTGAAGTGCAAAAATTTGAAAAGAGATTTATGAGTGGTTCATTTAAAAATATTTTCCAAGTTCTGAGTTTGATATGATAACAGTTTGATTACTTTAAGGCCCAGTCAACAGCAAGAGGAATCCTAACAAAATAAACTGCCTTGCCCTTAAGAAAAATGTCTGCTTCAAAAGATGACCCATCCCAAAGCCTAGAAAGGAATAAAAGACTCAACTATTGGTTGGTGAAAGTATTTGCATTAATCAGCCTTCTGATGGAAGGTGGGACATTGGAGTTGTCACCTGATTCATTTCCTGTGGTATTGTGAGTGATCTCAACGAGATGAATGGGTTGGATTGAGAAACATATGAAAACATGTAGTCCTTTAGGTTTCAGATGTTGACAACTATAAATCTCTACGGCTCATCAAATATCAAATATATGCAGGAGGGTTCCCCCCTCTTCCTAGCAAGACTGGGGGACTTTAGAAGTTGCTTTATTGTAATCCCGCATTACAATTTCCTTTTGAACATGGCATGAATCAAAATTTCCTATAAAAGGTTGCAATTAATCACCCAGTGGAGTGATAAATTTCAACAGTGTAAAAAAGAAAGCAGCCAAGCCATGTCACCCACATTAATTTAATGTTTCTCAGTGGGAGGATCTAGTGCTATTTCATGTAGTTCTTATCTGATGTCTGTGTTGCACTATCAAAAATATTGTAACTATTTGCAAGACTTACAACACAATTACACTATGCTGCCAAACATCTGATCAAATTAGCCTGATCAAGTTACCCAAACAACTGATGGAGTGATTGTTCTTGTAGTTGCTCACAAAAAGAATGAGGATATAATGCCCTCAACACAGAGAGGTTCACTCTACTTGAAACATGGCATGCGGCATATAATTTGTGTTGAGATTTGAGATCCAATTCTTTATACAACCAGTTACAAATAGTTTCTTGTAAAGCATACTGAAAGCCCTTCCACACAGCCATATAACCCAGAATATCAAGGCAGAAAATCCCACAATATCTGCTTTGAACTGGGTTATCTGAGTCCACACTGCCATATATTCCAGTTCAAAGCAGATAACGTGGGATTTTATTCAGTTGTGTGGAAGTCTGCCCTTTTAAGTAATGAGAACCTTCCTGCATAATGAGCATGTATCAATGATGCCTTGTTATCTGGAACTTGCTTTGCAAGGCACATTTCTACAAAATTATCATCATTATCATAAAATGATAGAATCATAGAGTTGGAAGAGACTTTATGGGCCATCCAGTCCAACCCCCTGCCAAGAAGCAGGACAATCATAATTAAATCATCATTTTATCATTAAAAGTAATATATTAATCATGTATTATTTAATGCGGTACTCACAGGGAAGAACAAAAGTAATGTGTTACAAATGTGAAAGAAAAATATAATTAATGTTAATCCTATTGTTTTAAAAATGAGTATTTCAAGCTCTGTACACAACACATTTGCTTGAGAATTAGTCAAATTAAACAATACTTTTGGATTACTGCTTAGTATAAGTAGGTTACTCAGGCTACATGAAGGTTAGCTGTTGGGAATCAAAATCATAAGATGACAGAGCTAGGATGGACTGCAAAGTCATCTAAACCAATTTCCTGCCATGTAGGATCATGCAACGAAACTATTTTTATGAGATGGCCACTCAACCTCAGTTAAATACTTCCAGTGAAGAAGGTAGTCCTTCACAACAACAAGACTAACTGGCATTTTCCTATAAACACTGTTTTAAGGATTTCTTCAGATGAGTAGCAGCCAGAACATGAATGCATCAGATTTTCTACTCAAAATGAAAAGAATGGGTAACACCTACAATCTTACATGGCACTGGCTGAACCACAACATCTGCTACAATCCAAGCACTGAATACAGCACAAGAAATAAGCACAAACAATGAAACAAATGTCTCTAAGCATAAGATGGAAAATACTTCCTCATTTACAACTATGTTCGTTAATTTAAAGTTGGAAAAGTCTTGTGAATCTTAGGTTATAGTACTTACACATCCATCCTCTGCATATACCCTTAAAAGTAAATCCTACTGCATCCAGTGGAAATTTTACTACTTTAGTAAATATTTGGGATTATTTCCATGCAGTATGAATATAGTATAACTGTCTTTTTCAAATTCATTTTAATATACTATAAGCTTTCAAGCTAATTTGTTCATATGCAAAAGAGACATGCATTTATAATTAAAATGCATTCAATAAGTACCATTCAAAATTTCCAGCAGAACGGTTAATCTTTGAATGTTCTTTTTATTGGGGTAAAGCAATCATGCATTAAGTTCTCATGTTCATGCAGTGTTCCAAGTGAACAATAACACAAGAAGCGTTTTTCTCTTGCATGTACCATTTTTTCGTTCAAATTCTAAAACGGATCGGATGCTGGGAGGGGGACAGAAACAGTTACATATCGGTTATTCGGGGTGTGTGTCCTTACGTGTGCAGTGGGAACTGTTGAACATGATTCAGTGTGACAAGAGGCACAGTGATCTGGCTAAACCATTTCTGAGGGTACTTTGTAAGGAGGATCAGTTGCATTATTCCTTTAATAGCCATGTCTAATGCAATAGGCTAGCGGGTTTTGTCCCAAGTCAAGGTATCAGCCGCAGGTCAGAAGGTAACATTCTGTTTACAAGATTATTTCCTAAAGCACTTATCTCGCTTTCGGTGTGAAAAGTTGACTTTTCTGTTTGTAAGGGGGCCAAAAGAATTGAGGGAATGGGAAAAATTAGCCACACTGGGCTGGAGCTGAATAGAATTAAGTGGGAGGTCTGAGAAAGGCCCGCTGTGGTACTCAGCGGGGTACCTTATTAGCCACGTCATCGCAGTTCATTCAGGCAAACAGTAACAGTGTCACCAACATTCCCACACAAAGACAAAGTTCTTCACACAGTCTATAAACATGCTTCCCCTGGCCGATTCATCCTAGCTTGACACTGCTGAAAGGAGGGTTCTCCTCTGACTTTTCTTTTTAAATGCATAACAAAACAAAACAAAAAACCTCCCCGATCTCTGGCCGGACAGGATGAATAGAGGGAGAGAAAAGGAGTACCACTGTCACCTTTCTAGGGAAGAGACAACTCGGAGGTCAACATTATTTAATTTATATATTCCAACACATCATTTAATTTTTAACTATACAAAAATGTGGGAAGGTGAAGATTAATATTAATCACTGCTAATTAAACTCATCCACTGCTGCTAAGATTAAGATGAGAAGTGCACTTGTGTTTTCTTTTCAACTTTTCGGAGCTCTGACATATCCCACCATGGCTTTCCCTTGCAAGACAAGTAAAACAATTAAATTAA